GAGGGTTGCGATCCGTTGCCAGTCACGAAAAAAGACAAAAAGGAAAAAAAAAAATTCTTTGGGCTGGCCGGTTAGCTCAGTTGGTTAGAGCACGGTGTTGATAACATCAAGGTCAAGGGTTCAGATCCCCAATCCAGCCAACCGCCAAAAAGATTCTTTAATTTTTTTCAACAGTTGTACAGGTTAGCTCAGTTGGTTAGAGCACGGTGTTGATAACATCAAGGTCAAGGGTTCAGATCCCCAAGCCAGCCAGCCGCCAAAAAGATTCTTTAATTTTTTTCAACAGTTGTACAGTCAGTTCCATATTACTTTACTTATTTACTACATGTTTGGCTTTTAACTTTCTCTTGAGATTGCCAACTCTGTTTTTTTGTTGGCCATATCTAAGTTGAATTTTTTTTCCTGTCATATACTGAATAGCTTGTTGCCCCCAGCCACACATTTCAGCTAGATTGTTTACTGTATTCTGGTCAGTGATCCTAATGAAATGTAGTGAACCCTGTTTATAATTGTTATGTCAATGACTCTGTAACTTAAGGACATTATTATGGAATTCTTGGATTCAAGTTAGATCTGTTATCAAATTCTTTTGTCTACACATAGAAGTCTGCATCTTCTGCTTGAATTGATCACATGATTGGGATTTACATTTCTTTGATTTATTATATTTCTAAATACCTGTTCTGTTTAATTCTAAAGACCTTTAACCTTGATGGGAATTGATCTTTCATTCTTTTATATTCTTTCATTCTCTTAGAATCACATAACTTTTTTCAGATTTTTAAAATATCTGTGATAGGCTAAAAAATTACCCCCCAAAAGATATCCGTATTATAATCCCCAGAACCTGTGAATGTTACCTTATATGGCAGAGGGAGGGCCGTGTCTTTGCAGAACTGATCAAATTAATGATCTTGAGATGGGAAGATTATCCTAGATTATCCCGTGGGCCCTGAGTAATCACATGTATCTCTAGAAGCAGGAACCTGAGGCAAATATTGTATTCACAGAGGAGAAGGCAGAGCACAGAGGAATTTGAAGATGCTGTCTTTGAAGATTGGAGGGCTGCAGCCACAACCAAGGAGGGCCGGCAGGCAGCAGCAGCTGGGACAGGCAGGGAACGAGTTCTCCTCTAGAGCTAGTGTGACCCTGCTGACACCTTGATTTCAGCCTAGTGATACTCATTTTGGACTTTTATATTGACAATCTTTCTTATGTTTCTTTAGGCTGCCAAACTTTTTGATGAAGAAGGAAGGAAAAAATTCTTTACCCAGGATATGAATAATATTCTTCTGGAGTAAGTAGTTTTCTTTTTTATTAAAAACTAAAGAATTATTTATTTAAAAATATAGTAGGCCTTTGAGATACAAACACTGATTGGTTGCTTAGTCCCATATATGAGCTCTTCCCTTTCAGTCTTACAGTGTCTTTGGTTAACATGTGTTGGTCAGCAGAAGTAAACTTCTGCATATATTGGTTCTCCCAGACCACTTACAATAATAAAAGCTCCCAAAGGAAATGACCACTGTACAGGTTGAATATTAACCTATACTTAAATCTATTTTATGTCACCTTATATGAAAAGATCTTTTCTGGGAAAGCTTATTTATAAAAATTTGGTATAATTTTTCATTTACTTTCACTACTCAGACTTGGGAAAAATAATTTCATTGATTTCAAGTGAGGATAATTATAATTCATACAAACTTTGATAGCCAAACGGAAAGTACAGTTTAATGAAGAAATCATGATCGTGAGGTAGGGTGAAGGTAGTGTGAAGAAGACAGAAGTTAAATTGGGATAAGAGAAGGTAAAGGCTGATACATGATATGCTTTGTATTTAAATTAGATATTTTTATATTTAACTTAGCAATAATTTTGCATTCTTAGCTTTTGATACTAATGAAGCTATAGGTTCTAAGGTTGTGATCAAATAAGCTGCACGTGTAAACCTATTGGTTCATAGATTTTAACCATTGGTAATAGGAATCAAGTATATAATTGGCTGCAAGCAGAACTGGGCAAAAAAGTGATCATGGGGAAAGCAACCAATTGTACTCCTTTCTGATGAAAGTAATGTATGTGTATTCTTAGTGGTTTAGTAGCACCATATAGAAAGACACAGAAAAGCAATGTTTCTAATTGATTCCTGTCTTTTAAATAATAATGGAGATAGTTTCTCATGAAATATAAAAAAAGGACTATTTGGCTCATTGGTTCTGATAACTATTGTAATAAACAGCAATCTTTGTTATCCTGGAGTAATTAAAATTAGTCTCAGAAACATAGAAGCTAGTGTGCAGCTAGTATGGTGGGCAGAGGAGTTTCTTGTTCCTGTTCTTATTTATGTTAGCCAGGGATTCTCAGATTGTGTTGTCTGCCTGAAAGTTAGGCAAGCACTTCCTGTCTGCACCACCTCTTTTTACCTAGCTCCCTTTCAAACTCTAGACTCAACAGACAGTGCATACATTACTCATCAGAGCTGTCCCAGATTCCATAATCAGGGATCTGACTTGCACTTCTTTTTTTTTTTCTACCTGAGAGCCCTAAGTGTACTAGATTAGGTACTTCTCTTGTGACTGAGACTATTCTTTTTTATTTTACTCTTCTGTAAGAGGGAACAGCTGTTTCTCCCCTGGGAGGGTCAAAAGACCATCCTAGGGACATAACATGTCAAATAAGCAGAATATCACCATCCTATTAACAGGCTTCTCTGTTCATTCCTCCAATGTCTGTCTTCTTAAAACAAATCTTCTAGATTTTTGGAGCCCATCTACTTTTCACTTCACAGAGTGTATGCTTCCAGTTCCATAAGCCCTAGTGTTCACAGTTGAATTTTTTCCATTTTAGTCATTTTTTTATTCCCCCTGGCCTTTTTTCCACTTTCCTAAACAAAGATACCTTATTTTTCTGGACTGGGTTGCTCTTTTAAGGGCATCTGGTACATGATTATTTGGGATAATAATTCCCATGAAATTATCCAGATGTTCTGGCTCTGCTTCACCATTGCTTCCTTATGCTGGGGAGAAAGAGAGATCAATTTGTTGTAATAGAGAACTCTTTTTCTTTTTGCCTAGTTGAATTTGACCTGGATCAACAAATATGAGGGTACTACAAAAAGTTCCTCGAAAATTTTGTATTCTTTTAATTCTGTTTTTCCATAAATTTTTTGAAGTACTCTCATATATAACATGCTGACTTGATTTCCTACCCTGTTACCTGAAGTGGACATTGCTAATAAATCATGACACTCTTTACCTATGATTCCCATTCAGCCTGACAGTTCTGCTCAACAAGTTGCTCCAGGCAGGTAGTACCATTCCTAGTGGATACTTTGCAGTAAGACCTATCTGCCTTTTTTTTTTTTTCCTTTTTGTCTTTTTTACTGACCGGTAACGGGATCGCAACCCT